TATTATCAAATGATCTTATTTTAAGATTAAAAATACTCGTTCCATTGGCAAGCTACCTCATTTACCTACTCAAATTAAGGGTAAATACAATTAATTTAAGAAATTCTTACTTATTTCTAGATCATTTTTCCAGTGTAACAGTTAATGCAAAATAGTGTATAAGTCTCAGCTAAACCTATTAAACCTTTTTGCATGCCTTTATCCCTCCCACCTGCAATGTTCTAAGGGCGGCTCTGACCGCCTCAGGCTGATGGTTGGACCGCCTATCCTCACCTTGGTATCCAGTCTAAGCTCAAATCCTGCATATCTTTTGTGTTCGACTACCTTGTATACTAAACAGCTTTTAATTTCACTCTCAGTGTCAAAGATGGGATTGCTGGGAGCCATAGGATTGTCTTTGGCTTTGGTGTCTCTCACACAGGTTAATCAGGCTTTCCATATCTAATTATTATACTAATTCAATTGTAATTTATCACTATGTCTTTAATGTTATAACAATTTTGTTTCTGTTCACAGATACATCAGTGCAGCGCAGGTAAGAATATAATTTGTTACATTCTGATTAAAACACACAAAATGCTGTTACATTCTTAAAATATGTAAATATTCACCAATAAGGCTATAGTTTTTCTTGTTTTTTTTGTGTTTGTGTAATGATTTTTTTATTTATTTTTATTCAGCATGTCAAATATTGTCAGCAAGGTCAACAAGCGCCTCTTCCATTTTCATAAGTTGGGAAAGTTATCCTGAAGCAACAAGCTATTTGTTGGATGCCAGAAAGACAAACTCTACAGACAGGGCACCAATTATCCTCGTATCAAGGGGGCAGTTGACCGAGAGGACCATCCAGGGTCTAAATGCTGGAACCGAGTACATTGTAACTCTTAAAGTGGTAAAATTTTTATCAGTAGACTGTGTGACGTCAGTGACGGTAACAACAGGTAAATCTAACAAGGAATTTTGTGTTTTCCTTTCTGTTTGTGATATTTTAAACATGTATGAAACTGATATGAAAAATATGCAGATAGCCTTTTTTTACAGATTAGCTTTTAATCATTGTAATTTCCATGTTCGCTGGCAAATAAATACATCTTTTTGTGTGTAAATGTAACCTTCATCTCACTTGCTCTAAACACCAACATTTTTCCTTTATCTGTTTTTACTAACAGTACCAGACACATCACAAATTATAGAAGGCCGGCCCCATTCAAGTACTTCTATTGCTTTAAGATGGACTACTGTGCCGTCGGCACAATACTATGTCCTGCAGGTGTTCTCCCAGACTACAGGAAATATGTTAAACTTCAGCCTCACCAACACATCAACTGTGGTGAGAAACCTGCAGCCCACCACCAACTACGACTGCTATGTTTACACAGTTAATGGGGCCGGCATGGGAAGCAGGAGCAAAGTCAGGACCATTACAACATGTGAGTTTCAAGCTGTTTTTTATATTATGCACTAAAATCTGTAGATGAACATCGTTGTTTTTTCTTTCTCTGAGGACAGCTATGGCTCAATACTCATTACTTCTGCATTCATCTATGAAACCCAGTTATACAAAAAGACAGATCAAATATTTTTCTCCCAAATTCATAATAGCTATGAGCTAAATATCTCATTATGTAAATCCCTTTATTGTCCAACAATGGGGGAATCTCTGCAATTTCACCCATCTCCTTGGGGAGCAGTGGGCTGCCATTGTGTGGCGCCCGGGGAGCATTTTGGGGTTAGGGTTTTGCTCAGTAACCCAGAGTGGAGGCTGTGGGGATCAAACCAGGTACTTGCAACCCCTCAGAGCACTAGAGCACTGCTATAACCACTAGGCCAACACTCCCCATTATTTGCATCAAAATTAAAATAAGCTGAAATTGGAAACAAGCAAAACCCTAGCATGTGTCTCTTTAAATAAAATACACTAAAGTGCTTCCCAAAAGGCTCTCTTTAGTCAGATTCTCCTTTTAAATTTTGATAGATGAAAGCTCTCCCTAAACGTTGTCACATGTAAAAAACAAAAAACAAACTACTTATTTTAGTCCTGATAAAATCAGGGATGAGCATAGTAAGATTTAATGTCATCAACTGATTATAACCCTAAGGAATTTGCTGGCAATTCCTATGTACATCCTTTAATGTATTAAAATCAATACCACATGGATATGTTGCAAATACAATTAGCAATATTAGTAAAAAAATTGAATAAATGACAACTTTTTATGTTTATGTTGGTACAAAGATTGTGTCTATTTTGTCTTATGCTTTTCCCCAAATGTAAGCACCGATAAGTGGCTCAAACTCTGGGTATTTTAAATGAACAAAAGCAAAAATGCACATGCATAACTTAGTTTTTTTGTTTCTCAAGATAAATTTGACTCAAATCTGGCATTACAGAGAGCTAATAATAAACCCATGCTCCCAGGATGATTTTTAATGGACCTCTGTTTTCTCGTGTGTTAGACTAACCCTAGAATGTTAGAACTATCTGTTTTATTATATAAATCAATGAAAAATCAACTGAAATTCGTATTTCAAAACTTTTGCACATCTCCTTACTTATTTTTTCATAATTTACCTCTTGACTGCCTGTCAGGGAAGGTCTGTGTCAATCTCCATTAGATGTAGGCAGTCAGCAGAGAAAGTGGCAAAAGATATCTGTTTGTGTGAGTAGAGGCTATTGTTAAAATATTAAAGTGTTTAAGGGGTACCGACCTGACTCAGCCAAACCAGGACGCAAAAAGACAAAAGATTTAGAAATGATTAGGTGAATCCAGACACAATCATATCATGTGAACTGATTGTGGAGCCGACAGCAATCGCATGCCACCAACAGCTTAGGTGTTAGTCCACCTGCTCTTTTGTTTGCTACTTCAAACTATTTGCCTGGAAACAGAGTTTTCTCTAATTTAATGTGATCAGTTGGCTTTACTGAGTTTTGAAAATCTTCTAGGCTGTGATCCAACAACAGGTGCAGTTAAGTGCATCACAAAAAGGAAAGAAACAGCTTGTTAATGTGACTCGTAGTTTTTTGGTAAATCTTTGACACCCTTAAATGTTGTGTAATGTGTTGCAACCTTCACCACACAGCATAAACGATCTAGAAAGAAGTAGGTTTTTCTTAAATTAAGTGTATTTTCCCTTTATTTTAGTAGGTAAATAAGATGATTTCCCAATGGAATAAGTATTTTTACTCTAGATACTCAAAATAAGCAGATAATATGCACTTGAATTAAGACAATGCTATTGTTTTTTCTTATTTTAAATGTAAATTGTCTTGTTCCATTGGCAAAGTGTCTCACTTCCTGAATCCAGGTAAAACGCACTTATTTTAATAAAAAAATTACTTATTTAGATTTTAAATTTTTTTGCTGCGCAAAAAGGTTGTTTGGCTCAATAAGGTTAAAGCAGCTTTGTTGGAATGTTGCAATGTTTAGCGCCTAATGCTTCAGCTTCTTTCTACAAACCTCTATTCCACATGGACATCTGTCTCAGCAAAGTTTGAAGGTTTGTTATAATAATACAGACATAGAGCTACATCTGCCACTATAGTTAATTTTCACTTTAGTCAAATTTAAAAAGGGTAAGAAACACTTAATGGGTTAGATTAATGAAAAAGGGGGATCTTAATGCAGATCACTTCAAAATGTCATGACTGGGACCCCAAATCAATACTTGTGATCGGGACATTTTTATTTACAAAACAGACTTTGGTTTTAAATAAAAAGGCTGTAAATAATGTATTCTACTAATTAATAATCTTAATGCTTTTAGTGGTGCAGCCTCCAGTTGGAGTGGAAACAACACAAACACATGCAGGAACGGCAAGAGTTACATGGGATCCAGTGGAGAACGTCCTGATGTATCAAGTCGCTGTACAGAACATCGATGAACCCACCAAAAAGCCTTCTGTGTACAATGTCACAGATATCAAGCTGGATATTAATGGCATTCTCCCATGCTCCGACTATTTGATATCCGTGTCCTCATTTAGCAAGTTCCTACAGCTGAGCGAGCCGACAAACCACAACTTCACCACAAACAGTGAGTCACCGGAGACAAATTTATATCCGTAACTTGTGGATAAAGATCTAGGTCAGCTATTCTCTCTCAGGCCATCCTTTCAGACATGCAGAAGATGATCCTCAGGGTTTAAAAGGATACAGATTGTTGAGGTTGTCATATAAAGACATCCCTAAGAAAAATTTACCCAAAGCCTTTTACTGTATTATATCATATTAACTGTCAGAAAAGGATTGCATTTGACTCCTTAATTGTCCAATCAGTGATCCTCAATTGCTTTTCCTGATGTGTTACATGTAATTACCTGCAGAGTTGGAGCCGGTGTCATCAGTATCAGTGGACTACACATGCACAACAAATTCTGTAGAGGTTTCCTGGCTGGCTGTCTACGGAGCAGAATCCTACATTGCCACAGCAATGGGTCAAGATGGAACGGAGAAGGAGTGCAGGAGCCAGAGCACTAGCTGCACCATCACCGGGCTGGGATGTGGTCAACCCTACGAGGTGCATGTGACGCCTAAGGCCGGTGACTGCAAGAACCGTTTCAATGCCACTTCAGCTTCATTTCAAACTGGTGAGGCACAGTGATGTTTAAAGCACCAACAGACAAACTCAACTAGTTTGGTTTACTCCATATTAACTCATAAGCCTCTGCATTTATAAGTGAATGAAAGCTTTTTTCCTCTTTTACAATAACTCAGACTTCTTATTTTTCAGTCAAAATGAGCCCTAAAATAAGGAACCATGGTCAAATTCCAACAATAAATTAGAATTATGGAATTCCTCTTATACAAACATCCATCACCATGTAGACTATATTCATATTTATTTATTTTCACACTAAATGTTAACTGCCCTGTCAACCTCCTACTTGCATTTTGCTGAATAAATGGTCAACCATTTGCTTGACTAGGCAGTCTTAAGCCACATATTCTTACTCTAGAATATGTGGCTTATCCCTTTGACTGCCTTGTTGGCATCACAAACAAATAGGCATATGTGTGATAATACCTCTCTATTAGGTAGTTTCACAATCCTTTAATAATCAAGGATTTCCAAATGTTCTTTGAAGTCAAAATGGATGATTTGCTATTAGGAAAATATATTTAAGGCTCCAATAAAATCTAAATTCTGACTTGGAATGTTTGAGATTTCTCCTCAATTCTTACCCCCAAATCCAGTATGGCTGCCACCTGTATTAAAAGGAGGTCAAGTTTCAAATCTGATTGCTTATTGAAGGTTTGGTGAACTACTGGCATTGAGGATTGGTGTCCTGATGTTTTTAGTTATGTACCTGCTCTAAAAAATCAGATTCAAATTAAAAAGATGATTACCACCTCTGCATACTGTTGCCAATTCCTAGCTTATTGGTTTATGATGTGGTAATCCTGGATTGGCTTTGCACCAGGAAGGAGAAACTATACCACCATACTAGTTCTGTCTTGTGAAGTAAAGACAACTTAGAAAAAGAATGATCAGATATATGACTCTGCATGCTTTTGAAAATGGGCATTCACAGTCCTCTGTTATGGAAGACAGTAACTAAGATAACAGGAAATAGATATAGGAATGTGGAGTAACACCCTATTCTCCCACTTCTTATAGTACCAGACTAATATTTGGTTCAGAAAACGTCTACCAACACACATAAGTAAACCAAATCTAATTATTATTTTATCTGGTAACTAGAAAGTTTATGTAAAGCCATGATTAGAATCAACCAAAATTCTTGTTCTGAAAAGTCTGTTTCCTGTTTTAACAAATGTATATTTAAAAATAGTTTTGGTTGTAAAAAAATATTGCAGGCGGAGGGCTACTAAGGATTTAAAACACCTCTTTAATCACATACATAAGAATGAGCTGGGTAATTACTTAGGAAAAAAAAGACGTAACTTAAACCATAAACCCTGGTGAAATGAAAGAGGACAAATTCTTCGATGTGAGTTTTTTCACTGCTCCACCCAGCTGACTCTTTTTGTTCAGGCTGTTAAAGCCTTTCATCTCACATATCGCTGTATTCTTCTAAAGGGCCTGGTCAATACAGTACTTGCTGTCCTGCTCCATCCATGCAGGTCATGCATAACGCAAATAGGCTTTTGTGTTCCCCTGATATAATTCCATCACAATCAATATCAATATATTAGATCAATATAATCTCCAAACTTGTTCTAACCATCAAAAACCTACAACATATAGCATGAATTAGGATAAGAAATTTTTTATCATGTACAAGATGTCCTATGAAGAAGTTTTTTTTTAATCCTCTTCAGTGATCTTCGGTTCACATTATGAAGAGGTCATTAGGGAATACTTGTTTACAGGTTTTATCTTTCAAGTCTTGTTTGCCGTCCAAGTTCACATCTACGTTTGAATCATGTCCTTTAAAAAATGGGTCTCCCATTCATCTTCTCGCCCAATATCACATTGTTACATTGTTCCTGCCCTTTTATAAAGCCTGAATGCAGTGAAAAGCAACGCAGCTATCTACAGTATCAGGGCGTTCTAACCTAAAAGGAGACTTGAGACATTTCCCTTTGATTGTGACATTTAACCATTATTACTTTTATATTTAGCTTTTCTTTTGCCTATTGAAAATCTATTCCTCTTTTTGTGTCAATATGTGACTTTATATAACTACATACAGAATATAACATGATGTGGTTACAAGGTTAAAATGACCATTTTTATTTGGCTTCTTTCCAGTCTCCTGTCCTCCTGGGAACCTGATGTTGTTGCGTGAATGTCGTAGTGACGTTATTGTCTTCTCATGGAATCACACAAGTGACGCAGATCACTACATGGCCCAAGCTGTGGACTCAAAGGTAATGCATTCTATTGGTGTCTGGGCTTTTTCATTCAAGAAAATGGACAGCTTGATATCTTTTAAAGTGATGTCCTATGGGAGGTGAACTTGTTAGAGCTGTTGCCTTACAGGTTGTTGGTTTGAATCCCGGCCTAGGGGTCTTATGAATTTAATTTTCTTCCTGCAAATGGGTTAACTCTGGGTACTCTGGCTTACTCTTACAGAACAGTTCAATGACATGATAGTTGGGTTAATTGGTGTTACTGAAATACTCATAGGTTCCCAGTGACAGCTGCTTGTTAAAGGCTAGATAGATATTTTAAACAGGGGACAATTCTCTCCTGTAGAAACTGCTTTAAAACTGGGTTTTATGAATTTAAAATAAAAAAAAAAAAAAAATCAATACTGGTTCTTACCCAAAATCCAAATATTATGAAAAAGATGAATATTTTCCTTTACTCATTTCAGAAAGTGAAACTCATTTATGATAAATATTCTCTGGAGATTGCACAACTTTATTACACGCAAATGCTATGACCATAGCTTTGAAGGGAGTAAAAACCCCAAATCGAGTGTCTTAGAAAATTAGAATATTGTAAAAGAAGTTAAATATCAAGAACTCACTGTTTCACACTCTTTAAACCCGTTTTAAAAAAGTACTAATTAAAGACAATCCTGCCGTTTGTTGATTGAATTACAGTATCTCCTCTTTATTGTTAACATTTCATACCTTTTATTTTTTCTGAGATGTATTTGCGTAACTTGGGAATAAGCTAACAGTGTAGTTTGTGTAAATGTCTTGAAAAAATATGACCAAGTCTAATTTAATCGAAATTTGCCATGTTACTGAAATGACAAGCCTGTGTTTATTTGCATTGTTGAAAAAAAAAAAAGACAACAACCCAAAAACCAACTTATATATGCTTAAAGTTTTTTTTTTTCATTATTATATTTAGGCCTTTTTTTTGGTTATTATTTAAAGCAAGCAGAAAGGATATGGGATTAGAGAAAGGAAGAAGACACGATTTTCTTGTTATGTCTTAATCTGGATCAGCTTTGAGAATTACTCAAAAAACTTTTTGATGTCACATTATTTAATTTTTTTTTGTCACCAGGGGGAAGTCATGCAGTGCATGACTGAAGAAAACTCATGCTACTTCACAAACACAGTGTGTGGTCGACGGTATGACTTCACAGTGTCCTCCATCACAGATGGCTGCTTGAGTGAGGTTAGCTCATCCGTTAACATCGAAACAGGTAAAACCATTTGGATTTACACAGTTCTGTATATTTAATCTACTTTGTTGAATGCATTTGCCATTTTTTCTATGTGCACAACTCCAGTTTAACCACATTTAAGTTATTGGTCTTTGTTCTGTTATCATTTCCATTTTTAAGCTGGAACCAACTGGTAAAAATGTTATATTGGTTATTATTGTTGAGAGTTACTGGAATTGCAATGACAAATCTGTATCTCAAGCCTTTGTAAGGACAATCTGTCTGCACACTGTATGTGTTTGCAGTGGGAAATCAAACTGTTGAGTCTTTAAAGGTTAAATAGCAGAAGCACATTGCCTATAATGTACTGTACGTAGAAAATTAGAAGATGTATTGTATTAAAATAACGTCTTATACATTTTTATCCAGCACCCTGCATTCCCCAGAATTTGCAAACCTCAGCCAGCTGCAACAGTGACATTCTGGTCAGCACATGGGACAACGCTGAGGGGGCCTTGTGGTACACTGTTGAGGCTGAAGGTAACACCAGAAACAGCAGGTATAACTGCAGCTCACAATCGAACAGCTGCGCCATGGAGGGGGTCCTCTGCGGAGATCAGCTGACCATGACCATTACAGCTTTCAACGACGAATGCAGCAGTCCACCACGGTTAGGACCTCCTGCTGAGACCGGTAAGTACTCCTCCCTAGAATACAACAGATGTATTACTGCAGCATTGTGCTAATATTCAACATCAAAATGTGACACAGAAGTAAGCAGGACTAAAATGAATTTCTTCTTGTGTAGTCCCTTGTGTCCCCCAGAATGTGTCTGCTGTAAAGGAATGTGGATCCAACTCCATCAGGGTGACATGGAAGATGAACAGCGGAACGCTTTTTTACGTAGCTTTTGCAAAGGACAGTGACAATGTGGTTCGTAGCTGCAACTCTCTTGATGCAACCTGTACGATCAGTGGTTTGAAGTGCAACAGCAACTACACTGTCTACGTCATTGCCTCAAATTTTTACTGCAACAGCTCAGAAAGCGAGATGATCACCTTGACGACAGGTAGTGTACAGATCTGGCTCTAAATAAGAGCACAGTTATTTAGAGAACAAACTAATGACCAGGTTAGCCAAAAAAAATGGTTTTATAATCTAAATCTGCATATTTCATTTTGGAACCTCTTGTCCTTCCAGCTGCCTGTGCCCCAGATGATGTAACTGCTTCCCTGGACTGTACCTCTAACGAGGCTCTGATTTCATGGCAGTGGGCATCACCAATAAACTCCTTCACTGCCACTATATGGGATGGAGTTGCTGTCCCTCTCAGCTGTAGCTCCACCACAACCAGTTGTAAAGTTCCCAACCTAAAATGCGGTCGGCTGTATAATGCCTCTGTGTCCCACAATGATGCTGACAACTGCTCCAGCGTACCTTCTGAGTCCATCCAGATGGAGTCTGGTAGGAACACTCTAAGCTCAAAACATGATGTTGATACAAAATAAAATAAGCTTATTAAAGCGCATTAAGAGGTGAACCGAAGTATATGTTTACATAAACTGTAGCAAAGATCTGAGTTAACTGGAGGCACAAATATGGAGGAATTTTAGGGAGGCAACTAAGAAAGGTTAAGCCATTCATGCAACAGGTTCTATATCTCTGTTGCTGCAGGGGGGGACTGGTGCACTTAAAGCATTGTGCCTAAGTAAGCAGGTTACATGTGAGGACACTATACAAAAATTGGTGTTTCAATTGTACAATGATCCTAAGGATACAACTATATTAGTTCAAAAGAGGCAGAAAAATAATAATCTTTTGTGGAGTTACTGTCAAAACATTAACAAAAAAACTTCAGATTTTTATAATTTTATTATGGACCAAGGCTACCCAGAGATCAGACTCAGTAACATCAGTTCTTTCAGGGTGAATCAACAAATATCCCATCAAACTATTGATAATAGTGAAAGGAAGGAAAGTTACCTAAAAGGTTTCAGCCAAGTCTTACGGTACATTTACACCAATACCCGTCCAATGACATTGCAGTCAAGACATTTCAGTTTGATGTGAACACATCAATACTATTCTGAAATCCATTTTACCAAATACTAAAAAAATAGATGGACATTCTAAAAATTATCATTTAGAGTTGTCTATTTTATCTACATTATATTTATTTTAGTGAACATTCGGCATGACAGTACACAACCAAGCTTTTTAATCTCTTTTTCATCAGGGTCCATACTTCTACTTAAAGGTGTAGTGCAGGATTTTCGCATAGTTTTTAAAAGATCTGCCCTCTCCACTTAAACAAAATACCACCCTGTACCCGTTCCCAAGAGGGAATACCCATTAAATGCATGCGAGAGTAGGCGCAACCCCATTTCTCCTTGTTTTACAACCATCAATGTGAAATGGATTTCTCCAAATAGCATGCCAAATTTTACCTGTCGAGAAGAAACTTCGTAAAATATAATTGGGAAGCCCGACCTGTGCTTTCAGAAAACGGCATCATTAAAGAATCCGATGTCTGAAAGTGAGCATGGGCTGAAAAAGATAGCTAAGTGGGGACGTGCACGTAGGACAGTCTTACGTAAACACATCACTAGAATGATTGACTATTAGAAGGAACACTTATTTTGATGATCTACTCGGAAAAAGCACATCCTCCACTATGCCTTTAACATGTTTTAGTCATCTTTACAAATGTATTTTCCGTCAGTGTAAAGATTACATAAAATATATATCTTTGTCTTATCTCTCATACAAAATGTAAATAAAATATTATCCCCTTTTTCTCATGTTCCTCCTCCCAGTTCCTTGTGGTCCTGCTAATGTCCATGTAAGAGTGGACTGTGCCTCCGGGGCTGTGAACATCAGCTGGGATGCTCAGAGAACAGCAGAGGGCTACATCACTGTAATATCAGATGCAAACAACATGATGACTCAGTACAACACTACAGAACCCACTCTGAGCATTGGCTCAAACGAGTGCGGGCAGGAGTACACGGTGAAAGTGATGTCGTTCCATCAAAGCTGTGTCAGTTTTACATCAGAAACACACTTTAAAGAAGGTAAGTAAATTACCTTTTCCCCTTTAAATGCTTTTATTCACTGGTTTTGTTGCATAATTTGGTGCAGTACATGTAGCTTAATGTTACCATATTCCTCATGGTACGACAGATTAGATTTGATGGGGAGCTGATCTGAGGTTGTGTTTATTCCCCCAGCTCCATGTGTACCGACTAACATGATGGCAAACAGAAACTGCGGGCAGGAGTTTGTAGAAGTAACCTGGCAGGCAAGTCGTGGAGCCCAGAACTACACAGTGACTGCAGTGGACGAGAATGGCAACCGCTTGACGTGTGCTTCCAGTGAAACATCATGTCGACTGGACGGCGTAATGTGTAGCCATGTTTACAATGTCAGCGTGGCTGCCATGGAAGACTCATGCACCAGCTTAAGCAGCCCACCAGTGACACTACATATAGGTATGGATCTCAAGTGGTCAGAGTTTGCTCAACAGGTCCCTGCAAACCTCTTAAAACCACTAAACGCAAGTAGCCCCTTTATTGGAATAAAACTTCACTGAAACCAGTTGCTTTGAGGAGTTAGCTGATTAACAACTGATATCAACATAAATCCAGCATCTGATAAAGGTTTAGAGTTTGTTAGTAAGTATTTGTAAATAAACAGCATCATAGAGACCAAAGAAGAGAGCTGACGGCTCGGGGGAAAAAGTTTCATAAAGGGTTCAAACAACAATCCATACTTTGATTTTTTGAGAAACCGTTTTCAGTTCATCATTCAAAAAACTGAAAGAATGTGACCTTAACATAGGAGGAGTTTAGAGATTCAATGTTTGCATGTAAAAATAACCACCTGTTGTGCAATCTGAAAAGTTGCCTATATGGAAGAATGCCATAATAAGAACAGTCCAAAGATGTCTGCCACACAGGGAACATGACAAACACTTTTGTCAACATGCAAAATATTCTAAATCAGTTCAGTTCAGTTCATAATTAATTTTTTGATACCAAAGGAAAATGAATTGTTCTTGTTACTCAAAGTATTTTCTATAAAGTGTTAGAATAGCTGGCTGCAGGCTGAAAGGATCTCCTGTAGAGGTTTGTCTTACAGCAGGACTGGAGAAGCCTCTGACTGTAGATACCCTTTTGCTATACAATACTCTGATGAAGAGGATGCTCTAGGTCATCCATAATGTTCTTCATTTTTTAACATCATCTAGAGAGTTTTTGGAGGATTTTATTTTAGAGTCAGGGTTGGTGGATGTTGTTGTGGACTAAAATGCAAACTAGAGGAGGCAACGATTTAATGAAGATGTTGATAGTACACAATCAAATAATCCAGAAATGACAAGCAAGGAACTAAGAAATCAAAAACAAGGAAACATTAAGGGAAACTAACATAAGGAGTAAAATGATGAAAGAGAATCCAGCAAAGAGGAACTGCACATGTGGTGTATATATGGGAGAAACAAACAATTAATGGGCTAATCAGTCGATAGGGAGCAAGTGTGGCTAGAAGCAACTAAAAAGGAGGTGAGGGGAAAGGAAAGGGACACTAGGGGGCGACAAAGAATAACCAGGGAAAACAGGATCTAACTGTAACTATGAAACAAGGTAAATGAGCTAAAGGAAATAAAATTAATGGCTGCAACAAAAACTAGACCCAAGAATGAATAATACTGAAAATGCTGAAAAGAGATAACTTAAAAAAATAATAAGGGAGAGGAGAAATAAGAATAAAAAAAATGATAAGAATTTTGACAAACACAGAACAAAAAAATAAAGCATAGCTGAGAACCCAAAACAAAAACTTAAACAGGACCAACAAGTCCAAAAAGGGCAGGATCATGACATTTAAAAAAGAACTAGTCTTTTTTTTCAGCTTTTAGAGTTACATCCTTTTCTCTGATGCTGCTACCCCAACAGATGATTGCCTTGCTACAGTGCAATGGATGATCCTAAGCAACCAGCCAGATCTATAACCTAACATGTTATAAAAAATATATATATGTTAGAGTTGCTCAGTCCTCAGACTTAAATCCAAGGAGAAAGTGTGGTAAGACTTTACAGATGCTCTCTGGAGCTGTCCCAACTGATGAAGACAGTGCTTTAAGAGTTAAATTCGGGGCCTGATTACAAATACATACCACACTTTTCATATTTGTATTTGATTAAAAAACAACATTGATCTTTTTAAGTCCTATACACTACTTTGGGATGCCATTTCACATCAGACCTCAGTAAAATACAGTTAAGGATGTGAATATGTAATTGGACATAATACAGATGTTATGATGCTGTGCAGGAATGAGCTGACCTTTCACATTTTTATCTGCAGAACCCTGCCCTCCATCTGAACTCACTGCTTTACTTAACTGCCCTGACAACTCTGCAAATTTAACATGGGGTAGCAGCCTCAACGCAGTGTCCTACACGGGAAAGGCAATGAGCTCAGATGGCCATACTGTAACCTGTGAAGCAGGTCTGACACTTGGGTGCCAGCTGAAGGGCCTGCATTGTGGCAAGAAGTACACCTTCACTGTGTCAGCCTCGGATGGTGACTGTCGCACTATAGACAGCGAACCGGTCAGTCACACAACTGGTAAGAAGTACAGAATACATTTCTTTATTTACCCTTTTTACTTGTTAATTTTTCATAGAATTCCTCTTGGTGTCTGCTTTTTACTTTACCTGGAGGTAAAGGGCTATAGTTAATGTATTTGTATGATTGTTTATATATCTAGTGGAGGCCTACTTGTTAGAGAGCAGAGTATTTGCTTCCTGGACAGGATGCAACATTGCAGGTTAAACCTATCACTGGGTTCCTGAGAAAAACCCTAACTTCACAATGCTCCCCGGTTGCTGCAAGCTGGCACCTGCTCCTTAAGGAATGGGTTATTGGAGAAGACCGTTTGTAATATGCAATTGCAATGACAAAATAAAATAAAAATAATCTCTATCCTAAAATTCAAGGTCCCTAAAGGTCGTCTTCTTTTTAAACGGTTGTATAAAAACAGGCAAACTTGTTGACAACATGTATAAATTAAAGCTGTGTAAAACAGCTTAAAATACAGATTTTTTTTTTCACATCCATTTAATTATTTTCCCTATGCATCCTTCAACATTTATGCACTTTCATGATTTTCCCAAAGTTACTTTAGGTAACCAGGTTTAGTCAAATGTTGCTAAGCCCAGCTCTTTGCCTGTTGTTGCAGCTCCATGTGCAGTTCAGGATGTGCTCACTGAGATCAACTGCAGCACCAACGCTTTGAGCATAAGTTGGACCCCTCAGTCCATCCCGGTCAACTACAGCACCACTGCAGTAGGTGCAAATGGCACCATGCTCAGCTGTCTCTCAGAGGATAACAAATGCACATTAGTTGGCTTGCAGTGCGGTGATCAATACACTGTGAGCGTGAAACCCATCAGCAGCACATGTGAAGGCCAGAGCAGCGTCCCAGAGAGTGTAAATTCAGGTAAGGTCTCTGAAAGGAACTCATTAGAATCAATTTCACTTAGCAATCTGACTCACTTCTGTTGTCCCTTTCTTTTTTTGTTTTTTTAAGCTCCATGTGTTCCATTGAACGTTCAAGGAAACGTGGAATGCTCCACCAACACATTGCAGGCGTCCTGGGATGCAGCTGCTGGAGCTACATCCTACATCTCCTTACTTAAGGGAGCAGGAGGTGCCCCTGCTTCCTGTCAAACACCTAACCAAAGCTGCTCTTTCCCTAATCTGCAGTGTGCTCAGATTTACAGTTTCAGCGTGGTGGCCATCAATGACAGATGCAACAGCACAGAGAGCAGCATTGTCACCACAAAAACTGGTAGGTGCAATTTACGGTAAGGAAGTTACTCTTTAATGTGAGGACCATTTTCATCTGCTTTAGAATATTTCTGACGAGTCTTTATGATAATCGACACTATGACTTGTTACCTGCTTTTCTAAAACTTTTACATCTTTACCAAAGAGTTAGAGTTACATCTGATACTTTCCTTGTCTTAGGTCCCCATTGTGGAGGATATAAAGATGTTAAGTGTCAGCTTTATGAGGAAGTTCTGTTTTTGAGCACAACCTTTCAACAAAAAGCATTTTTTAATAGAATAGAATAGAATAGAATAGAATAGAATAGAATAGAATAGAATAGAATAGAATATACCTTATTATTGTCCTAGGGGAAATTTTTCATGGACCCAAGTGCGCAGTGCATAGGAGTAGCTGCCAATAGCAAAAATAAATACAGATAAAAATAAATACCAGCTAAAAATGCAGACATAGTACGTACAGACTTAAATAAAAAATAAAACATAATATACAATACTAAAACAACAAGCAGAACACCAACTTATTCCACACTTCCCATTTCTCCCATAAGAAGAAGAATTCCATTTTAAAGAAAAATGTTGATAATTAAGCCATTCAGAACATAATAAATTACATTTCTTTTTAAAGAAATACTTCTTCAAATGTGAATTTCAGTTTTTGTTCTTAAATAGATTTAATAAGTCAAAGAACAAACAATTTTTTAGGGAAGTCTTGATTTAATTTCTGCATTAATTACCTAAATAACATCTTATGTCAATAACGTGTCATTCAGTGGGAAGGAGATATATAATCTCAGATCAAAATATAGATTTAAAGTATATAAATTGAGTTTTGTGTTCATTTCTGAATTACTTTTATTTTGCTTTAGTCTATAAAATGTCTATAAAATATCTATTAGCCTTTCTTCTATTTTGTTAATGCAACACATCACAGGACAGGTTAATCTAATATTAATCTATTATTATTTTCATGATAGATACATGGTTTGAAGATGTGAAATCTTCTTGTGTACTTTTTTTTATATTCAGTGAATGTTTGTTTACTTGTTTAAAGCCCCATGTGACCCTGCAAATGTGGCTGCCTCTCTAAACTGCCTCTCTGATGTGGTGACCGTGACGTGGAGCGCCAGCGCAGGAGCGGATCAATACACGGTTTTGGCTGAGGCTAGCGGTCATGTAGACTCCTGCAACTCAACCGGTACCTCCTGTGAGCTGACCGAGTTGCAGTGTGGAGAGAACTACACGGTTACTGTGCTGGCAGGGGACACAATGTGCAACAGCTCCATTCTTGCCAAAACAAATGTATTAACAGGTGATTTGTCTTTTCTTTTTTTGTAGAATAAGAGAATATATCTACGTAATTTCCTCTTTAATATTTCCTAAAACTTTTTTAAAAATGGTTCATGTAAACTTTAATTTGTTTTTTTTTTACTTTAAATGATTGTTTTTGATATTTAAAATTTTTCCAAACATGTCCTGTCTGCTAGGAGTGAAAGTCTTACCTGATGAATGATTATTGTTTTTAGGAAATATGATCCAAATATATGCTCTATATAGTTCCAAAATTATTTCTTAAATCTCCAATTCTTAAAGGCGTAGACCTTCATAAAATGCTTTGATTTCAGAATGTTTTTACGGCAACTGATCGTCTCGTTAGACAAAAGTATAAAAAATAAACATTTAATAATTTCAATATCCTTTCTGTGTTAATAAATAGATTGACACATTCAATAAATGCATATGGATATTTTAGATGTTGAGAAAAATAAATAGTTCACAACCTAACGATATTTGAATGTAAAATTGTTTGACTAAAATTTGAATATAAGATATTCTTATTTGACTGTATTAACTGTTTTATGGTTACGGTGCTCCAAAGTATCGTCCAATAATAAAAAGCTCATCCAAGCCACCCGGATATCTGGTTGGTTAACCTGCACTGCAGCTTGAGAACAATTAGCTGCCTTGACCAGATTAGTTTTAGAACCTGATTTAGATTTAAACCATAATATCTTAAAAAATGATTACATTTAATACTTCTAAGTCAATAACTTTTATCTGAAAAAAGCAAAGGTTTGAAAAAGCTGGAGATAAAATGTTAAATACATGTTTATTTTGTCTTGATAGAAAAAAAAAACATATCAAAGGTCGAAAGGCCTAAGCAATAAAAGCAATTTTTGTTTTTATTTATAGCAAATAAAGACAATATTCTAAAATGTTGGCTTTTAGAGGTCTCTATTTAAAAGTAGGGTGGCAGGAAAGTGGGCTGGGAGAGCTTCAACTTTTTCGGAGTGTAACTATGATAAAATATGTATATATATATATCTATGAGTCATATGGATGCTGGTTTCTGTGTGAATGATCCTTGTGTGAACAAATGTTTTCTGCTGCAGAAAACTAAAATCAGTTCCAGCTAACTCAATCCTGGGTTATTGCAATGCTTTTAACATGTTCTTGTGTATTAAATTAAAAAAAATGCAGTAAATTCCTCTGTAAATAAATTGCAGATTTAACCCCTGTTCCACCGGCACACAAAACAATTCTCATGTTGATAAAACTAAAGTTTCTTTGGGAAAATAATATTTTTTGTCTTTAAATAACATATCTCCTGTCGTGTGTTTTGCATGCAGCTCCCTGCACCCCAGTGATAACAGACTACTCTCATCACTGCATCACTAACAACACTTTGGTTACATGGGATGAGGATGAGGATGCTGTCAGTGTAACAGTCAATGCCAACTCGGACCGGGGACACTCTTTGTCATGTAGCTCTTCCTCCAACAACAGCTGTGTCTTGGATAATCTGCTCTGTGGACACACTTACACGGTCCAAGCTGTTGCCAACGGAGTTCAGTGCAGCAGCAAACCCAGCCCTACTTTTCAGATTATCACAGGTTTGAGTTAAAATAAATATGTAGTCACAATAGAAACCCTCTTTTCTCCATTAGAGTGTTTAACACCTGGCTCTCTTCTGTCCATTAGCACCATGTACTCCTCGTAATGTTGAGTACCAGTACTACTGTGGGTCTGGGATTGCCCTTGTAAGCTGGGACGAAGCTTTGGGGAGAGACAGTTTTCACGTTCGTGCTCACTCTGGGACACACGCAGTCTTCTGCACCACCTTTCAAGACACTGACTGCTCGCTGCCTCCGCTGCTGTGCAGCCGCACGTATGATGTAGAAGTCATAGCTGTGGCTGACGGCTGCAATAGCACTATGCCCGGTGTCACACAGATACAGACAGGTAAGAGCAGAACACATAGCAAAGGACCTAAAATATTTCTCTATGCTTGGATTTCCTCTCTATATACATCATATCATGGGGTAAATAATCCGAACAAATATTGAAAGAATGGTTCATCAGTTTGAAAGAAGGTTGCAGTTGACACTTTGACACTTTTTCTGTTGAAAAACCCAAAAAATCATGTTCAATCTTATCATGATACATATACTGCTGTCCTTGACAGCAGTATATGTATCATGATATTTAAAATTATATTTTGTATCATGATATTTAAAATCATGTTTTTTTTTCCTGATATTTAAGAGGAAACTATAAATACTCCATAATTCTCAGAATCTATTTTGCATAAACTGATCAGTTTCAGGTTTCAAAAGCAATCAACAATAATGTAGATATGTGTCTAATTTTTTTTTCAAAATCACAACATGTTTTTATTTGCTGAAATGGAATACGAAGGATTTATTCAGATTGTTTATTTATTTAGTTTGCATTACAAAGTAACCTTTTCCTAAATGAACAGCTATGTCGTCTCTTTTTCCATCAGCTCCATGTGCACCTACTAATCTCAGCGCATCACTGTTGTGTGAAAACAACACGGCGGAGGTGAGCTGGGAGCACACCCCCGGAGCAGTAATGTACAGCGTGACGGCAACTGGGAGGAATGGTGACCGGAAGCAATGCACCACAAACACCTCAAGTTGTCAGCTACCCAACATGCACTGCGCTCAGACCTACCTAATCGTCGTCAGCCCCTCCTCTAATGTTTGCAAAGGCCAAGACTCCTTAACATACACGTATTATGCAGGTCAAAAACAAATGAGAAAATAAATATTATTAGGTGTCAATAAAATGCCAAATTCAACTAAGATTTAACTCGGAAAAACTCTCTTGCAGGACCCTGCCCTCCAACAAACATTAGAGCTTCTTTGCAGTGTGCCGGTAACATAGGCCATGTTTCCTGGGATGCTGCGCTGCGGGCCGAGATGTATGAGGTTATGACTCTGCCTTCTGTCATGGATGAACGTGTCCACAACTGTTCCACTGATGGAACAAACTGTTCCCTCACGGAACTGCACTGCGGCGAGACGGTCGCCATCACTGTGGTCACCATAGAGAGAGGCTGCAGGAGCCAACCCAGTGAACCACTCATGTTCAAAACAGGTCAGACACACAAACCAGAGTAAATGCTAGTTGTTACATTTTAGTTTAGAAAAATTGCTCTTCAGCAATCATCAAAGTATTACAGTAGTATTCATTCAAAATTACCCCACTTTGCCTGAAACAAAAGTTGCTGATTACATTTATTAGTGAAGCATTTTTTTGTTTTTTACTTCTTTAGCAGCAGTAAAAAGTTACAGATTATATTACAGTAGCTTAATTAGTAATCCTAACAATTAAATTATTTTAGATTATTTATGTCAGGATTTTGTGAACATTTAAAACTTTCAGATTGTTATACAGTTATTGCACTTTATGATTTACATGCCAGCCCAGGAATTAATAATTATTTTCAATGTTAACATTAACCACATCCTAATACTTAAATATGCATAAAACAGTGATCATTGTGGGGTTTTTTTTCTGACAGTGATCTGCCCGCCCACTGACCTTAGCACTGTGACAACATGCAGCAACAACGACATCACAGTAAGCTGGAATCTGAGTCCAGAAACAGGAGCTCAGTACTTCATCCACTCCCAAAAAGATGAAGGGGCGGCCACCAACTTCACGTCACTACAACCCTTCTACTTGGTCAGTGGGCTGCACTGCAGCGAGCTGTATACATTCCAGGTTGCTGCTCTGAACTCTCAGTGCAGCAGCGTCTTCAGTGAACAGATCCAAGCCGAAACAGGTTCGTTTTTGGATGTCTAGACGCTTTTTGTGACGATGTAAGAATTGAAACAAACCTATTAATGATAATTGACCAGCAGACTCCTCACTTTAAAACACCAAAAACAGAGAATATGTGGATATTATTATATCACGCCTAAAATATAAAGAGCTATAATTCAAAAGTAGGATTAATTTGCAGGAAATACTTTTCTGACAATTATGTGCAAATAAACCTTGCTTAAGAAGCAGCAGCCTCCTTACATAATGGTTTTCTAAATGAGATTTGCTCCTCTTTTTCCCATTTTGATGAAGATAGATAAAGCCTATGTAACATCAATTAATTAAAATGAATAGAATGCATGACATCAAACATGGGGTGTTTATGCATTAATATCTGCCAATAGAAATAGAAATTAATAATTGATTATGTTATTTATTGATAAACCCTTTTGTTTTAAAATTACATTTTTTTTTTGCTGATGTAATATTTTGTGACCTGGTGGGAGTGTCATGGAGGCAGAAGCTCACACGGGACTCAGATAATGTTACCCAAGATGCTTAGGATAACAGAGCAATGGAAGCGCTGATAACAATAGAAAAACAAACACAGTATATATGAATATTGCAACTGATACCTGCGGCTCTACTTAAAGGCTTAAAATAGATTCATCTTTTTATAAATCAAAAAGTTATCTGTTACTCACAATAAAAGAAAGACATGGCTGGGGACAATGTTTAGTTCAATAAACCAACAATATAGCTGGTTTTAGTATCTTTTTCTAGATTTCTTTTAAGTTGCATAAATCATCTAAATTATCATCAATTTTCATCCATAGCTGAAAAAAATTCTCTTTAAAGCAATTTCAATATAGTGTTTCATAACAGCTAAACTATTGTTTTTTCTTACATTTCAGCTCCTTGCCCTCCATCCAATCTGACTGTCAAAACTGAATGTGGCACCAATATGGCGATTCTGGGCTGGGATGTTAGCAGATACGCCATCTCCTACACTGCCACATTTACTGGTACCCACGGCCATGTGGTTTCCTGCTCTACCAACACCACAAGCTGCTCCGTAAAGGTGGACTGTGGACGCCAGTACTCTGCAGACGTAGTCGCCTCCACTGAAACCTGCAACAGCAGTAACTCAGCTGTTTTAACCTTTGACTCAGGTACATCAAAACCTGCAGGCATCAGGGTTGTTTTAAGCTGTTCACCTCAGGTTCACAACTTAAAGTATTAATTAATCGATTATCTTCCTCCAAACAGCTCCATGTTTGCCCGACCAGGTGGAAGCAGAGCTAGATTGCACTGCCAACTCCTTTGCGGTGCAGTGGAGAGGAACCTTTGGTAATTCGGCCATGTACACTGCAATGGCCATCGCCAATGACAACTCACGAGTGAGCTGTGAGACCAGCAGCACCCAGTGCACCATCCAGAACCTGAAATGTGGCGTCCTATACAGCATTGTCGTCACCACTGCCTCCATCGACTGTGGGACCATCAATGGCTCAGACTACCAGGTGTACTCAGGTAGCAAACTATACTACGTGAACCAAAGCAAATTCATCTGAATATATTCCCTAAAACAAAACCGTGTTACCTTAGTGCTGGGTTCATACACCTCTAGGTGGAGGCCACTCATCCTGAAGTAGCACAACCTTGTACTAAAATCCATCACAGATGTTTAATACGTTGTTACTCTATATCAAGAATTGACTGATCCTGACCAAGGTCACAAGTTTACATACAATAGATAAATAAAGGTCTTAATATAAAATCATTAAAGTGTATAAAACTAATTAAACATTTCAACTAACTGACTTTTAATTCCCTTTTAATATATATTTATGAAAATAAATAATTTTAATATATATTTATGAAATTTATGAAAATATCCTAATAACTTTCTGAAAAGGAAAAGATGTGGATTCTGGAGATTGAATCAGTGGCGTAAATTTAACCACAAGATTTAAGATTGCAGGCTACTGTACATGGTGGGGCAGTTCGTAGCAGTGTTGCCTTGTTTGATTCATGGCCTAGGATCTTTCTTCATAGAGTATGGTGGCTTCCACCGTGCATGCGTGGGCTCCCTCCAGGGACCCCGTCTTCCTCCCACATTCACAAAACATGACTGTTAGGTTAACTGGTGTCTGTAAATTGTCCTTAAGTGTGTGCACATGGTTGTGTTGCCCTGTAATGGACTGGTCACCTGTAGACAGTTGGAGGTGGGCACCAACCAGGAGAGAATTGATCAATATAGGATTTGATTTAAAACAGATCATATTGCTGAGGTGCATTTCATCCTGTTTGCCCTTGGAAATGGCTAAAATGGTTAACATTGGGTAAAAATGAACAACAAAAAATACATATCATAGGAATAATAAAAACAATCAGAATAAAAGGATTTCATCAAAATTTATTCAGATTATTTGAGTATTTGAGAATCAACTGATAATAAAGGGAATGGATTTTTGGGGTAAAATCATACATGATTATTTTTTTTATTGGTTTTACAATCTTATAATTTTTGTGCTGTAGTGCACCTTCAAATAACGTTCACTGTCACTTATCAGATTTACCAGACATTTTAAGTGGTTGAAATAAATCCAGATTAACCTAAACTAAATAAATGTTAGTCAAATCCACCAACTGATCATCTATATCATTTAGGACCAAAGAAATACTATGGATCAAGAAAAAACCTACATTTTGTATAAATTAGTTACAAAGTGAAATAAATACATTAATAGGTTGATATAAAACTAATAAGCCCTCTCACTATTTTATTTATTGATGTGTTAAATGTAAAATTGTCTGCATCATTACATGAAAATATTATTCTATGTTAAATGATATGATAGATATAAAAAAAATGTGATCAGTATAAATAAGCTAAAGTTAGTGAATGTACAATTTCTATTGTCCTTTTTTGCTGTGGTGGTGTTTGGGTCTATTTGATGAGCAATGCTGTCAGCTTAGAATATACTTTCGATAAATAAATAAAAAATCCTTATTGTGCTTGGAGGGAAGAGTCAGATTGATTGTCAGGTTATACTTTAACTGTTATGTGTTTTAAAACATGCAGTATCTAGATGGTGATTGAGCAGCCTGTTATCAATATTACATTATGCAGTTGATGGCAGGTGATCTGCTAAGCATTAGAATATCCACAGTGCCTCGTCTGACGTAATCAAATGCAGAGCTCTGCAACTTCTTTGGTTGAAAACAACAGATGCTTACTGCGACTTTAGTACATGTGCACGTGGCATGTCTGTAAAAAAAAAGTGGTATTTCAACTCATGAACATTTAAAAATAGACAGACCAATCATTAAGCCAATATACACTTTTTTACTGAAAGTAGTTAAACACAGTAAAATATTTTTCACACCTAATTATGTTCCTATTTTATCACCAGCTCCCTGCAAGCCAGACAACGTGTCACTGAATCTGCAATGCAGCACCGACGTGGCGTTGGTCACCTGGGAAAATGCGGGGCCGGATCAGCATCAGGTGGTGACGGCCATAGACAGCAGAGGACAGGCCACAATCTGCAACTCCAGCAGCTCCAACTGCACCTTCGACCAGCTGGAATGTGGGAAGAAGTACGCCATCAGTGTTACTGGCTACACTAACTCCTGCAGCAGTGAACCTACCGTTGCAAAAGAGCTCAGCACAGGTATGAGAAAATAGTAAGACTCATCAGATTTATTCTAAATCTATTTTAGACTCAGACATACTGAGAGAAACAAACTGATCAAAATCAAGTTTATTTACAAATTTAAAACAATATGCCTCAAAATAAAGTTGTCTCTGAGGAGCTTAAATCAAGCCTCTCTTTGTTCTCCTTAAAGCTCCATGCATCCCTACACATGTCAAAGCACTAGTGGACTGTGAGAGTGGGATCACCTCTGTGACATGGGATGAAGCTCTCGGTGCCACATCGTACATCGTCTATGCTCGGGGAAGCCTAGGCTACAACACCAGCTGTACAAATAATAACTTCCACTGTAACTTCTTTAACCTGGAATGTGGGCAGGACTACAACTTTACAGTGGTGGCTCGACATGATAGCTGTGTCAGTTCGGCAAGTGAGACCATCACTGTCAGCTCAGGTAAGTGAAAGCATCCAGGTAGACTCAGGATAACAGATTATAAAATACAAAAACAATGGTGATTGCATGAACAAGCATTTTTATGATGATTGTGATTTTTATCATGTTTTATTCTAACATACAGTGATTCAGTTTTAATCGTCTTTTGTGTTCATCCTCCAGTCTTTTCAATTTTTACTCTAAATTCATTTTAATAATTGTTTTTTTTTTTTTTTTGCTGCATATTAGAATGGTGGCGAAATTGTCAAAGAAGATCTAAATTATAGATGCACCTTTATGATAATCGTCTCTGATATTGCTTAACCTAATAAGCTTGATTGGATATCAGATGAATGACCCCCATCCAGCATCCAAAACCATTAATTTCCATTTTGGTGATTTGGTGATATCATATGTTTTATTGCAATGCTGATATCATACATTTATATCTGTTTTTATTTGTCACCTTTTTTAAACAGTGTTAAACAGTGTATCTCAAACATAATGCCTTTACTCACATGGTAAGGTATATGATAAATTCATTCAACAGTAGTATCATATATCTATCGGGTATCAACCAATGTGATCAGTCCATGTATTAGTATCGGATTGGATCAGAAAAAATGGATAGGTGCACCTCTAGTCTACAAAGGAAAGTGTATGAATGGGAACGTAATTCTCTTCATAAAATGTGCATTAAAAGGATTTTAAAGATGGACCATTACAAATCCTCATTCTACAGATACATTGTGGAAGTTTTTTTTAATTTAAGTGAATGAATGTTAAGTTTTCTAGTTGATGCCATCTTGACAAACATTTAAGAAAATATTGCAACAAGTTGTCATTTTTTGTTGTTGTGTTTCTACCATTAAAATAAAAGTTAATTATACAAAAAACATTCTTATCAATTGGCCCTGATTGGTTGGTTAATTCAGGACAAAATGACTCAAATTTGTTCTGGCCAATCCCTTTAGGTTTTTCCAAAAACACCATAAAAACTTAGAATCAAGCATTACATTTATTATTTTACACAAAAAGTATGAAAATGCTATAAATTGCATGCTTTTTATTTCAATAATAATTTTTTTGCTTTCTTCTCCTCATAGGCCCATGTCCCCACAGTGGTTTGCAGACATCGCTGGATTGTGACACCAACACAGTCATGGTATCTTGGACTCCTGGCAGGGGTATCCTCTACTACAACGCCTCAGCTGATCCTTTTAACATTGCCCAAGAGCAGAGCTGCTCAACCAATGGCTCTTCTTGCAATATCACCTCCCTGGACTGTGGTGAGAGTTACAGAGTTAGTGTCAGTGGACAGGGACACGGCTGCCCGAGCCCATCTCAGAGCTGGAACAGAATAAATACAGGTGGGTCCATCTGTACTAGGAGGAAACCATTTGTAAAGATAATTTTCCTTATTTTTCTGTGGTACCTCCTGCAATGATGCATGCTTTCTTTCCACCAGCTCCTTGTCCTCCCACCCAACTCAGGGTCAACTCTTCCTGTACATCAAACAACATCTCAGTGTCATGGCAGGCTTCAAAAGGTTCATTGTCATACATGGCGGTGGCTGAAAATGCAGATGGTCACAAGTGGTCGTGTAACACGAGCAGCACCACCTGCCAAATTCCTGAACTGCTGTGTGGACAGGAGTATAAGGTCTATGTCATTGGCATAGACCTGACGTGCATTGGAGCTATGAGCGAAATAGAAATGATTCGTACTGGTGAATATATACATTATTCTATGAACCTGTCATCTGCTAACATATACTAAAACGATTAGGTGATTAGCTTTTAAGACTTTTAAACCACTCATGTTAACATTATGCATTCTGTTCAGCTCCATGTGTCCCAGACAACATTCAGAAACATCTTGACTGCCCATCTGGGGTCCTCAACGTGACTTGGGAATCCTCAGGTTACTTCACAAAGTTCCGGGCTACTATAGTGAGCGGCAAAGGTCACACCAGCGTCTGCAAGACAGAGAAGCATTACTGTGTAGTGCGCAATATGGAGTGTGGGATGACATACAATGTGAGCGTTACAGCCCAAGATGAGTTTTGCAACAGCTCCATCAGCCCCCTGGAGCAAGTTGAAACAGGTGTGGCAGACATTGCTTTAGAATGTAATGTGTTAGAATGCATCTAGGCAATATCACTCTCACAGCCCCCCCGGTCAGAATGGGCTTCTGTGGGGATTTTGTGTTCATTTCCCCCAAAGGTTTTCTTGCAGTAAGTAATACACATTATTCTTTCCTTTTCTTTTTTCACACAGCTCCCTGTCCACTGTCATCCTTCCATCCTCTGGTGGACTGCAGCACTGGCGTTGTGTCTGTCACATGGAACAACAGCGTGCCAGGGGTCGTGTACACTGTCTCTGCTGTGGATACTGAAGGTTACATCCACAACTGCAGTGGCACAAACAGTGGCTGTGATATTAACACACTGGAGTGTGGGACTGAATACAATATCACCATCACACCGTCCAGGGATACTTGTGTAGGCAGAGAAAGCAATGCCAAAATGATAAAAACAGGTACAATTATATTTTTCTAACAATAAAATTGAACAATTCTGTCTTCTTTAGAAATACAAAATACATATTTCAGGCACTCTTTGATGGGCTTCAATAGACTTAAATGTAGTAAAGTGTAATCTGCATAGCCAAAGAAGAATATGCTGTCATATAATATTACCATGTAGAAGAAAAAAAGAATAAAAAATGACAGGTGCAAGCACAGAACATTGTGGAACTCCAGGTGTAATTGCTATGCATGCCAACAGTTAAGGTTAGAATGTGAATCAGTTGTAGTGACATTTATTCTTTTTGTTAGGGCACTAATTCTGAGATTTTTCACAGGCAAATGCATACCTGTTTATTCAAATAATATATTGGGTAAAAAAAAAGTCCATATTTATTGAGGAAATGACCCAAATTTTATGGTAAACACTTAAGATTACAGTTTAGTCTAAAACTAATGAGTTCTGTGCAGAAGGACATTTTAAAACACACATTTCATAATCCTCTCTTTACTTTTAGTTCCCTGTGTGCCTCAGTTGTCAGATGTGGAGATTGACTGCCTGACAAACTCAGCATGGGTGATGTTTGAAAATACTGCTGGTGCTGAAGGATACGTCATCACTACAACAAACAGTCAAGGTGCCGTCCAGACATTTGAGTGCAACTCCACATCAGATGGGATGTGTGCTCTGCCAACACTGAACTGCAGCCAGAATCTCACCTTTACCATGAAGGCCCAGAACGAACAGTGCATCAGTTCAGCCAGCAATGCTGTCACCACCGAAACAGGTAGAGGGATGATAGCATAGCGAAAGCAAAGGCAGCTAAAAATTTTGGCATTTTTGAAAAGGAACAGGGAGGAAGTAACATCAAATAGGAAGTTGTAGGGGATCTTTGCTCTATAGAGATATTATATGGACAGAGATAACATTATGACTGATTTTACTGTATCTACAGCTGATGGTAGTAATTCTAGTAGTGTTGGATTCTAAACATGGGGTTGGCTCTTTCTGCATGGAGTGTATGCTCTCCCCGTGCATACATGGGTTTCCTCTGGATAGTTTGGCTCCTTCCCACACTCAAAAAACTTGACAGATATGTTGGTCGCTTTATGTTGCTCTTAAGTTAGAGTATGTGCATTCTTTCTGTCTAGTTCTGATGGATTGGCACCCTGTCTAGTGTTTACTGCAGCTTTTGTCCAATGAACGCTACAGATAGGCCATCCAACATATTCTTCTACTCAATTATTTTACTTGATATGTAAAGTAGTTGCAGATGAGGGTGGCCTAGTGGTTAGAGCGGTGAACTTGTGCTCTGAGAAGGTTGCAAGTACCCAGTTTGATCCCCACTCTGACTCCCTGAGCTAGACCCTTAACCCCACATAACTCCCTGCACTGCACAATGGCAGCCCACTGCTCCCCAAGGGGATGGGTTAAATCCAGAGTTGAATTTCTCCAATGTGAGATCAATAATGTTCAGTTATTGTTATTAGCATTTTGGCCAGATGTGGTGGGAAATTGGTGAAGCGCAGTCTGAGGTTACCGGTCAGTGATGATTGCTGTGTTCTGCTGTTCCTGCTAGATGCTGTTATTTTTTCAATAACAGCAGCCGTCTACCAGGAAGTGTTTAGTGTTTCATCTTTTCATCAGATGACGAGTTTTACAAAGATGCTGATTTCATACTTTAGCAAAACTCTGCCAAGAGTTCTATCTCCTGCTTTAATGATCGGGTTATCACTATGCTTGGCTGCCCAGCAAAAGGCCAACATCTAAACCATGAAGAGAAAATATGAAGTATTGTCAAAAGGAAGAAAGAGAGACAAAAGGAAAATAAACTTAAACTATTGCATGCTGTACAATACATGGGCAAAAACTTTTGAAAAACCTCTTTATTTTTTTATCATGAATACCCAAAATATTTGCAGCATTTGTTATTGGGCGATCACTTGAAATATATATCTTAAAGTTTGTCTCTTTCCTCAGCGCCATGTCCTCCTCAGGGCATATTGGAAAACGTCAACTGCGACAACGGATCTCTCTCAATCACCTGGGCAGCAGTTCCTGGAGCAATAACATATACAGCTACGCTAGAGGAGCTCAGTGGTGGCACACCTAGCTGCTGCACCACTTCCACTACTGGGTGTGATATCAGTGACCTGCCATGTGGAAAGATGTACATCCTGCATGTTACAGCTGAGGGGCGAACCTGCAACAGCTCAGAGAGCAACGGGGTCATCACAAGGACTGGTATGTGGTATATACTATGATGAGACATGTAGACAATGTAGATTTAAACTATGAAAGTTGCACTGAATATTTCCCTCTTTCAGTGGCATGCGTTCCAGAGAACCTTGAAGCAAATCTGATCTGCAGCAACAATGTGGCCTCAATGTCATGGAGCTACAGTCGAGGTGGACAGCTCTACGTGGTGAGAGCGGTGGGCACCAACGGCCATGTGTCCGAGTGCAGCTCTCCATATAACCGGTGTGATCTGACCGACCTGCTGTGTGGAGAGCAATACACAGCTACCGTGACTGGGGAGGACATACGATGCAAGAGCAAACCGAGTGACAGTGTGAAGATCAAGACCGGTACGATGTTTGCATTATAAATCTGCACAAACCTACAAAGTGCTTTTAAAGGTTTATGGTCTATTTATTTAATTTGAGTGTTAAATTTCTCTATTTTATGAGTTATATTTCTTTATTTATTTGACTGTGTCCTTTTTCAGTCCTCTATTCTTTCTATCATTTTACATTTAAGAATGTATACTTTTGTTATTAGAATTAGAATTGAAATAGTATTACAAAAAGCCTTGGTCCTCATCAGCTCCATTTAAGCATGGGCCAGATTTAGGTTTAATAGGGACTGCAGTAGAGCTAACGCAAAATGGAAAGGTAGATGCACACTTAATGAGTTTTAAAAAATGGAGAATTGCTGTTTAAATAATGTTTAGCTAGTTCAAATGCTGCAATATGATCCACTTAACATTTCCTAAAGATTTTCTGTAAAACCTTCTAGTATGGGTTTCATCTACTGATTTTGTGCTGCTTTATGGCAGACAAAGTAAAAACCTGTAAAAAGCTTTCAAATAAACTAATTCTTTATTACCATTTCAGAGTTTTACATTGAAATGTTACGATTTTTTTTTTAAATGGAGCTTCTAGCATTTTCTACATAAAGATTCTAATTAAATCCAAACATGGGATTTCTTTCTAACTCTCAATAAATTATCAAAGAGTGTATTTTTCCCTTTCTGATTCTACTGCTGCTATTTAAGACTAATATTTTTTAGGGCTTTATAGAAACCTTTAACAATTGCTTTATAAATGTGGAGGAAAGGTAGTCATAAAGCTCTATTCAGAGCTATAATACCTTGATGCTGCATATCTGACAATCAAATATAATTGATATCTGTCTTCTTAATAAGCTCTAAAATAATCATAGGCCCTTAAAGTGTTCATTGAACTTTCACCAACAGTACCGTGCACTCCTGAGAATACGTCCTCTGTGATGGACTGTGAGGTCAATTCTCTCATCGTCTCCTGGTCTGAGAGCGCAGGAGCCGACTCTTACATTGCAACGCTGCAGGACAGCCATGGACAGAGCACAACTTGCCAGGCAACAACAGAGGGCTCATGCAACGTGACGGGACTCGGCTGTGGCCAGGTCTACCACGTCTCTGTGGTCTCCTCTGATGGATACTGCAACAGCCCGTCCACAGATGTGCTAAACACACCTTCAGGTAGTGGAAACTGATGTGGTTGGTTAGGGGTTTAACCCCTATAAGATAAACAAACTACAAAATACTATGATTTACTACATCTCTTTTCAAATGTTATAATATTCAACTGGAGGTTTTAAGATTTGTCATTCATTGCAGAAATCTAAAATGCTGATTTAAATGTATTCCTTTGTCTGTTCTTCAGTGCCATGTAAACCAAGAAACATCAAGGCAGTGATGGACTGCTACACAAAAACAGCCCATGTATCGTGGTACCCAAGCGACGGAGCTTTATCCTACTTGGTCGTGGCCTCCACTGCGTCCAATCAGAACGTCACCTGTGAAACCAACATGACCTCTTGTGAGCTGGAAGGGCTGCAATGTGGTCAGAGCTACTCTGTGTCCGTGAAATCTATGGGAGGAAGTTGCTGCAGCAGCGCCAACATGACAGGAGAGCTGCTCACTGGTGAGCAACTAGACAACAGGCATGACAGAGACACTTGTTTAAATATTATAGCTACAGGAAAGAGCTATAATATATATAAAGGATAATATTTTTTAAACCTTTGCACACCAAAAAAATTAAAAACTTCCAATTTTTTAAGCAAAAGAAAAAGTTTACAAAGAGGTTTAGAACAGGTTAGAACTTAATTATTATTGTTTAATGGCAACAAAACACTGATCAGCATCTCTAGGTGGATAGGAAGCACCAATAATTTCACTATAGATATTTATTGTAAATAATACATATAATAATACAATATTTTTATTTATAATAGTAACCAAAATGCATGTACATTTCTTCTTCTACTTCTTGTTTTTCATTTCTGCCATTTGATGTCTCTCTCCTCTCTTACAGAACCTTGCCTTCCTGAACAAATCACCCCCCTGTACAGCTTAAGTATTGGCCAAGTGCAGTGGGACAAGGCTGCTGGTGCTGCTAACTACACGGTCAAAGGGGAAACCGAGCACGGCCTCACAGTTTCTTGCGCCACCAGTGATAACTTCTGTGCCTTATATAACATGGTGTGTGGACAGGTGTACAATATCACTGTTGCAGCACACAGTCGTGTGTGTCAAGATGTGTCCATCTCTACTGAAGAAGCTGCGATTAAGACAGGTGAGAAACAGTTTGCTCTTACTGACTGATTTTAAAAAGGTGAGTTTCGTTCGCAGTTTTTGAGAATAGCGGCTAAAGTGGTGCCCTAGGTTGTATTAGGAATATGGAATTTAGGATGTAGTTAAGTTTACTGGTTTTGCTCTGCTTTATTCATCCAGTCTTGCCTTCTTTCAGAGCCTTGTCCACCTAACAACGTGGAGACTAATGTGAACTGTCAGGATGACCTGGGAATTGTATCATGGGAGGCCAGCTGGGGCGCTGTGGCCTATGAAGTTCAGCTTGCAGGGCGTGATGGCCACTCGCTGACCTGCTACACAAATACCACTTTCTGCAACGTTAAAGACCTCCACTGTGGGGTGATCTACCACACCAACGTTATTGCCATTGGGGAGATCCTCAACAGTAGCCAGTCCAACACTGTGCTGCTGACAGCAGGTACTATGATAAAGCACTGATAGGATTGCTGTAATGCTCGGTGTAACAGGATCCAGTGAATCATGGATGGTTCTAGACAAGAGACCATAACTGACTTGATCCCTGGACTAATCCAAGCTTTTAACTTTACAATTGAGAAATGAAGGTGTCTTTACCTTCAGCCATATTAAGATAGGATCACAATGTTTTATTACTAAATCAGAGGTCTGAAACATTGGATCTGTGGCTCACTGGATGTATTAAACTATTGCTTTGTTTTTTTTATTGTTTTGTTATGTGCTCCCATTAAAAAATTATTTTTCATCATCCTTTATAATTAATTCAGTCCCTCACAGCTTGATCTGTGAGGGACTCATTTAAAAAGAAGAAGAACTCAATTGAAAAAACGCTCTAGCGTAAAATTAACTGTATGTTGATTCAGTGGTTTCATAAAGCTGAGGAGCTAAATGGAGTTTTAAATTTTACCAATTATATTCATTCTTCATCAGACAAGTAAAAATTTCCAATAACAAACAATAAATTGTGTATATAAGATACTGACAAAGATTTAGTGCTAAACCTTTCAATGATTAATCAATAAATTAAAAGAACATAAAATTATCAGCCCGAGTCATCCTTTTATTTGTTAAACAAAGTCCAGTGCATCAGCAGACTTTATTTATTTCTTTCTTTTTAATAAAGAAGTTTTGTTTTAGGTATGATTAACACAATTATTCAGATTAATTGTGATTAATGCATTATTGAAATAATCATTAATTAATTTATTAACCAGTTAATCGTTAACTGGAATATAGAGACTCTAAAACATGCCTTTAGTTTACATAGCAACCCACTTAGAGCAGTAATTATATCAAAATTTAAAAATATATATATATATATAAACATTTTGCATGCAAGATGAAAAAATCCTTTTTGTCCGTCTATCTGCTGTATCCAGAACTCCTAAGGTGTAAATGTTTTAGTTTCACCTGGTAAAAATTCATTAAAAAAAATCTTCTTTAAGGAACCTTTGGCTCACTGATTTTTAATTGATTAAGCTTAAAAAATTATCGATTTGCAAAATAATTGTTATTTGCAGCCCTAGTTTTAGGACAACAAAAAATGTTATAATGAAATGTTACTGATTAGATGAAGTGTACAGAGATATCAGGGATTTGAAATGGTCGAAACTGAAAGTATGTTCATTCTACAACTGTTGGAATGCTGGAGATGAAAATTTATTTTTGCATTAATTTGTTTTATTAAGATATTCTAGGGTTAAACAAGATCAACTAAATCCCCTAAAGATAGTGACTTGATCTTTTGCTGCTGTAAAACCCCAATTTCCCTATTTTGGGACGCAAAGGGATTTTCTATTCTATTCTATTTTTTCTATTCATTTAAATCCATGTATGATGTTGCATTGCCTACATTGTTATGTGCTGCAATTTTTGAATGAAACAAAACACACACAAAACACATGTCCTTTCTAAAAAGTTATAAAAGTTGTTAGAAACCAGATCTCATAAATCAGTTTGGTTCCGATCAGTTTTATTAGTTTTATTAGACTTTACTTCAAGGTTACCTCTAATCAGCTCTCATTCATATCTTCTCCTGTGTGTAGCTCCCTGTACAGCTGGGAACGTGGTGGCTAGCTATGGCTGCAACAACAACACAGCTGAGGTCTCTTGGAGCTACAGCGGAGGGGCCAGCTCCTATATAGTAACTGCTGTATCACTGGATGGGTACCGGGCCTCCTGTAACACTAGTGAACTTCGGTGTGAACTGTTGCAGCTGGAGTGTAGTCAAACCTACAACATCACTCTCACAACTGGGAGCAACCAATGTCAGATTGAGAAGCAGACTGGAGTTTCCTTCAGCACACGTAAGTTAAGCAAAAATCCCCAGTCCTGATTGTATTTTTTGTTACAATCACAATTTCACCTCTTATGACTGATTTTTCGTCATTGTTGTTTTCTGTTATGATTTTAATAACGAATAGAGCAAAAATAAACACTTTCAACTTAATTGAAAATGGATGAGGTTCTCCATACACTCCATACACGCTCCCTTATCAGGTTTTAGGTGGAAAAAATCTGTTGATACCTTTTTGATACCTTTAATTTTCCAAAAGAAAAAAATGACACATTTTGGTTTTTGCAAACAGAATGCATTTAGTTTCTTCTATCGCTGATATTTTGTTATTTAACTCTACATATTCTTTCCGTTTATTAAATTCTTGATCAAAGATTAATTGATTTACCTTGCTTTCCAGGCCCATGTAAGCCGCAGCGTGTTGGAGTGGACCTCAGGTGTGGAACAAGCACAGCCAACATGTTCTGGCATGAAAATGAAGATGTAGAGCTCTTCATGGCTACTGCCACCAGTAGCATGGGGATGACTCTGCAGTGTAACACCACCAACTCCACCTGCGAGTTCCCTGATTTGGATTGTGGAGAAAAATATGTGTTTTCTGTCACTGCGTACAGTAACATGTGCTACAGTGAAAACAGCAGCTCTGTGGTGATTCAGACAGGTACAAAAATACTAATGCTGATATAGAATCTTTTGTTGTTTTATAAGATGTTAATGAATTGTTTAAACTTTTGAAAATGATTTTTCTCATCTGTAAATTCATATCCATAAACAGTTGAACCATGATAGAGAAGTGTTTGCATGCACTGTATATTGTTCTTACCTTATGTTGACATATTTAATGTAAAGTGCAGGAGTCCCCCCTTCTGCAAAACAACACATGGAAGTCCACAATTCTCTGTGGAATCTTGGTTGATTTCTTTTAGCTTCACCATCATTTACCTCTAAATTATATACACTAAACATAATTTAGACTAAACCATGTTTAGGTTCTCCATAGTTATTTTAGTGTCAGATCTAATCCCAGCTGATCTATAATTGGAAAACTTAAGTCTGTCAGGAAACAGCAAAGGGCATTTTAGCATTTAGTGTATATAAACATCAGGTTTCAAATGTGTTCAAATGAAAATACACATTTAAACTGTTTATAAAACTCCACAGTTCTTCTAAAGTTCAAATAAAAAATCCAGAATATTTCTTAAACTCTTATATATTTAGTATGTGCATATGCTTGTAATGATTCCAATGATTGCATGTTTCTAAGCCATGACAAGGCTTTGCTTTGGTCCACTGTATAAAGCCTTGAACTCTAAACTATTTCTGACATTTTGAATTGAAAAAACTTCCAGGATGGGAAGGGAAACATCTTCAAACTTGGAAACAAAGTCCAGTGGATTTTTTTTTTTTTTACTTTTTGGGAAAGACTATGGCCTGGATCACTAAGAATCTTCACCAGCTCCTTGTAATGAAACATTTATCTCTCCTCTCTTCACTTTGCAGAGCCATGCCCGCCGACTGGCCTGTCAGTTAACGGATCATGCAATGATGAGACAGTTATGGTGGATTGGTTGGAAGCTCAGGGGGCCCAAATGTATGTTGTAAAAGCTGCTGGCGATCTGGGGTATATTTCAACTTTCCAAACCAACGCAACAAAGATAGAAACCAATCTTCCCTGTGGACAGCTGTTCACTTTCACGGTAATAGCACAAGATAACCGATGTGAGAGTGCTGTCAGCCAGCCTAAAGAATACAAGACAGGTATGTTTCTCATTTTTCTAGTTTTACTTGATAAAATTTTTATTTATTGATGAACGATGTAATCCTGCACCTTCCTCTTAGGTCCCTGCGTCCCTGAGCAGGTGCAGAGCTACACACGCTGCGAGGACAGTCTTGGTTCTGTGAGCTGGACCATGTTCGCAGATGCAGAGTCGTACCTGGCCATAGCAGTGGGAGAGGACGGCCACACCCACGAGTGCAGCACAAACACCACCAACTGCACTTGGGACGACCTACACTGTGGTGAAATATACACAGTTAACGTCATCTCTCTTGACTACGAGTGCACAAGCATGCCGAGCAACAGCACAACAATTCGGATGGGTAAGCTTTTAAATTGTGCAACAACAACAAAACAAAATAAATCATACAACAAAACCAAACAATGATTTGGGACTTGTTAAGACTTTATACTTTATAATAAAGGGCATGCCAATCTGTACGCATTCACTTAAGATACTAGGCATCCTATATAAGTAATTTTCACTACCGTATATAGAATATTCTGTTTTTAACTGAAATCTTGTTTTTGTGCACGTCTCTGCAAAGTTATAATGTCAAACTGTTTCCTATTTCTTTTAGCACCATGTATACCTCAAGATTTGAAATCATCTATTAACTGCAGCACAAAGGTGGGTGCTACTTTATTTGGTTTAGGGCAGAATTGATAGAGCCAATACTGTTTAACGTATTTGAATTTTTTTTTAAGGTTGGATCACTGACCTGGAATGCTAGTGAGACCGCTGAGTTTTACATTGTTACTGCAGAGACAAACAGTGGCCACCAAGTGCAGCTAAGCACCAACGACACTTGGACTTTCATTTCTGAGTTCATGTGCGGTCAGGAGTATTTCCTGTCTGTTCAGGCAGCAGACTCCGAGTGTACAAGTCGTCCCAGCCAGCCTTCAACACTTTTTTCAGGTAGATTCTTGTTGCATCTTGTAAAATTATACATATTTTTTTTAATAAAAGTATTCCTCTATAAACCACCAAGTAAATAACCCAGGGGTTATTTAGGTGTCACTAGACTTTTGTTTATAATGACATGCTGATTTTAAAGCCCTAATTCACACATTGTTGGACCCTTTGTAAAAAAGTATTTCTATTTAAATTTCAAATAGTTTTCAGCAAATTCATTTACAGTAACGGTATGATAGAAAAGGCTTTTTTTCCCATGTCTGACAAACAAGCCTTTTGCATGTAGGCAGCATTTAATGGCTGCTATGTAGACTCTGCTGTAGTTCTTTTACCATCCTCCTCAGTGTGCATGGCAAAAAAAAATAACCCTGGTCCTCACACTTTTATATAATTTACAGTTTACAGTTAGGTAGAAGCAGTTTTAGGGAAGTAGTTTATCATCAGTGGTCTTCTCCAGATATCTATACTTCAGGAATATAGGAAGTTATGGAATAGTAATAGATAGTTCTTAGACACTTTCCCTAACATAAAAAGAGTGTTATTTACAAAATACTTGTTTCAATATTTTTTTTTTTAGGGATTAGTAGGAATGCCAAATGGTAAATGAACCGAAGAGGTTGTAAAAAAGGAATTGTTTTTCCCACTAAACCCAAATTAATGTTTTCATTTGATTTTTTGGGGTAGAGTGAACTACTGCTGTAGAGGAATAAATTATTTTAAGATTTTTACACATCTGTGTCAAAAGTGATAATGTTCTTGGTTGTTTAGGGATCTTTGTTCCCCCCCTGCCTTCATTTTACAACAGAGAAACCCTAAACATCCCCTTTATGGTAATAAACCCATTTCTTTCTCCCCTCAGAGCCATGCCCTCCCACCGATGTGGACAGTGTCTTGAACTGCTTCTCCAACATTGCTCTGTTGTCGTGGAGCGGCTCAGCAGGGGCAGAGTACTACACCGCCACAGTAACTGCAGAAGATGGCCAAATTATGAACTGCGCATCTGAAAATGAGCAGTGTGCCATTCCCAACATCCCATGTGGGAAGAACAACTTAGTAACAGTAGTCGCTTCTAATAGGATCTGTGATTCTGACCCCAGTGAGGCTGACATACTGCAGTCTGGTAAGTTATTAGACATTTAAATCTTTCTTTAATGCCTCGTAGTGTATAATAAAATAAAATAACTAATAAAATGTTGTTAATGCCATTTTGCTTCATTTTCCTCCAGTATCTCATTTCACTGAGATGTAATATTAAAGCAAGTAAAGGAGGCAACCATGAGAACATTTATGAAAAGAGAAAACATGAATTGAATCAATGAATATTACACTCTGTTGAATGGTTTCTGTTCTACATAAGGAATTTATGTTACAGCAAAGAGTTTAGATGTCTTTAGTTTATATTAATGTGATTTTCATTAAATAATTTATCCATTAATTTCACATTTTTCATCCAGTTCCTTGTGTTCCTACTGATGTGAGAGCAACAGTGAACTGCTCCGAAAATGAGGCGATAGTGTCCTGGCGTGCCAGTGATGGAGCTCTGGTATACAAAGTGAGAGCAGTGAGCACACAGGGCGCGGAGTCTGACTGTACAGCTGGAGACACAAAGTGTGCTTTGACCAACCTGACTTGTGGACAACAGTACTATGTCCAGGTTATAGCACAGGACAACATCTGTTCAAGCTTGCCAAGCCCAGCTGTTATGTTTGAATCAGGTAGAGTATTCAAGATTTAAATTAATGAACCTTTGAAAATTATACTGCTTGTTCCCTAATTTGAGAATAACCTATCATCTTCTAGTTCCCTGCACACCCAACATTGGCTCTGTGATTTTGGACTGCTACACCAACTCGGCCCTTCTGGACTGGGTGTATTCTGAGGGCGCCTTAAACTTCATTTCCACAGCCCGGTCCGCCAGTGGTCATGTTTCGTCCTGCACCACCAACCTCACTAACTGTGAACTGGAGAACCTCCAGTGTGGCCAAATGTATGACGTTTTCACTGTGGCTTCAAATAATCAATGCAACAGCCCACCAAGTGCCATATTACAAGTGGAATCAGGTAACAGCTCAAAAGCAAAAGGAAATCTGTTAATTTAGAGTAGAGTAGTTGCTATTAAGGATTTGCTCAAATGTGTTTCTTAGTTTTGTCAAATTCCTCAAGCTGCTCCACTCTTTGGGGTTTCAAGGCTCCTTTGGGATTCAGCCTTTAAATCTCTTTAAATCAAACTAACAACTGTCAAAGATGTTTTATGGAATTCGTGGAGTTTCACTGATGGCATTTCAGATGCATATTTACAGTAGTTGACAGAACTTCCAAAGTAGCTGTAAATAACTGTTGTTTCTAACATAACATCTGAGTCGTTTTTCTGCACAGCTTACATACTGAAGAGTTCTGTCACTCTACCAAAAAAGAGATCAAGCAGATCTGAATTTTGTTTAGTTATTGGTCCATTGATTATTCAGTCAGGGTCAGTCAAGTGCAAAATCACCAGATTTTTTTCAGTGTATAACCAGAGGACAGCATTCAGATTTCTCCTGATAATCATCGCTAAAATAGAAATCCTGCCAGAGGGTTATTAAACTGGTTATAGCCTTTGAGGTCTAAACAAAAGCATTAAAATGAATTGCCTCCGAAGAAGTTATTTTGCTACTTTGTACCAAATCAGGTTGTAGATGAAGGCCAGATAAATCACTAGAACACTTTTCTTAAAAACGAATTTCATACGATGTCTCATCATGAGCATATTAAACCTATAGTACCTTGTAAGACTCACGTGTAGGTGACTGGAAACCTCTTAAGCACTCATCCTTTATTTCATTGTCTTTTTCTCAGTGCCTTGTCCTCCTGGACATGTTGAGGCAGTTCTGGACTGTGACAGTAACTCAGCTCAGGTGGAGTGGCAGGCCAGCAGCAGGGCTGACTCTTACATCGTCCAAGCTTTCGGCGTGCAAGAACACGAAACCAACTGCTCAACAGACTCACAGTCCTGCATCCTTCCCGAACTCCTGTGCGGCTTTACTTACAACATCAGCGTGATTGCTGTTAACAGAGTGTGCAGCATATCACGCAGTGAAGTGATACAACTACAAGCAGGTAAAAATGAAAATAAGTCAAGGTAAAATATGGTTTTCTTTCATCTTAGCTAAGAAACAGCTAAGAAAGTAAGACCAAAAAAGGTCATGGGAA